CATCTCCCCAGCCTTGCATTGCTGTTGACGGTAGTGTACACATAGGTGGTTGGCTTCCGTTGTTCAGACCATCACGGCCCCCATGCCATCAGCGGCTGGCTCCAAGCCCACTGTCTTATGATGAATTAGCACATAGTAATGAGAACAGTTGCGGGCCTTCACGTTACCGGGCTCTGTGCTGTACATCCGCTTATTCCACTTGATTAGGAAGCTGGAGCAGTTCCGCACTACCTTGGGCAGACATGGCGGAGACTCCTCTCTCTGCTGAGGCCGGAGACAGAAAGACTCTTCAAATTCTTGTAACATATATGCATTTCCTGTAAATTTTTTTTTTCTTTGCGGAACCGGAGATTGAACTCAGGCCCTTGCGCTTGCCAGAGAAGTGCTTATTCTACTGACCCATCTCCCCGGCCCTTAAAAAAAATTTTTTTTTAATTTAATTTTTAAAAAAAATTGGGGGGCTGGGGAAATGGCTCAGTACAATAAGGGCTTGCCTGGCAAGCGCAAGGGTCTGAGTTCAATCCCCTGTTCCGCAAAAAAAAAAAAAAATTAATTTTCAGAGCTGTGGAGATGGCTCAGTGGAATAAGCACTTCCCTGGCAAGCGCAAGGGCATGAGTTCAATCCCGGTTCCACAAAAAAAATTTAATTTTCAGCATAAATGGGTTAAGTTGCCCAGGCTGACAACAAATTTGAACTTGCAGTCCTCCTGCTTCAGACTCTGGAATAGCTAATTTGCCCAACGCTGAGCATGGGGGCTGCCTTAGGGCCACCCAGCTGTGACAGAGCCCAGGAATCACTGGAGTGAGTAGCACAGAGGAGGCCTGGAAGAGGAGTTAGAAAGAAGGTGAAATATGTCCAGGTGGAGGGAGCTGCCGGCATTTCAAGGGGATAGAGAGTAAAAGGAGGATGAGGTGTGAGTGGGGATGGCTAGGATGAAGGGCATTGAATGCCATACTTATGAGTTTAGATTTTTTTTATCCTAGTGGCAATGGGGCGGACATGTGTAGTGCACATCTGTAACACCAGCACTCAGGAGATGCAAACAGGATGGTTAGCTGTGAGTTCAAGGGATTGGGTTCAGGGAGTGCAAGCTCAGGCTGGAACTCCTAAGGGGAGGGACCCAAGGAGTAGGCCAAGGGCAGGCTCAGGAGGAAAAGTGATTAAGCGTTTTTGGAGCCAGGGACCAGGCAGAGGGAGCTGGGACACAGACGCTGCTGAGCGAGAGGGTGGGGCCAGCACAGAGCCAGAGCCAAACTGGAGCAAAGGCGCTGGTGAACAGGGCAGCCGAGGGGGGCCCCCACGGGGTTGGCCAGCGCCTAGCCTAGCGAGGAGCAGGCAAACGGTTCCGCTGGGAGCATGGCCGAGGGCGCTGCGGCCCCACGGCATCGTCAGCCATCAAGCGAGGCACGGTCACTACAGGAGAGTAACTGGGGCACAAACTGAAGTCTGGGCTTGCCACTCAGCCGTCACACATTCTAGACTCAGCACTTCTCCCCAACCCTGGTGACACGCCCACCTCCTGAGCCCCTCCTTGTAGCAGTAGCATCCAGGAAGGTGTAAGCTAGGCGTTACCCAAGCTCAGGCACCTGGGCTGGTTGAAGAACAGAAAGGACGTGATGACTGATTCCAGGAAGGACAGTTATTGGGAAAAGAAGTTAAGAACTCTGGGGAAGGTTGGAAGTGTTTCACGCTAGCTCACCCCAGCCCCTCCTCTCCATGTGCCCCAGCCCATCCTGTAATCCCTGCCAGTTAGCTGTGTCCCAGGATGACACTATGTGCGGGGCTCCTGTGCACAGTAGCCCCTTTTACTCCATTCTATTAAGGAGAACGGTCACTTGCGGACCTGGGGTGTCCCCAGCACACTTCGTTGGCGGATGATGCCCCGCACTCCGTCTTCAGCAGCAGCACCCTGCTGTCCTTACAGCTCAGCGTGATGGTGCCGAAGGCCCCAGCGACCCGAGGGATGGGCAGTTGGGCCAGGGCTCAGTGCAGCCGACGCCCACCAGGGGGCTTGAAGAGTTTCACGGCTGAATGTCGCACAGGAGGGCACCAGCTCCAACTGCGCCTACCCTCCCCCCTCCTTCCTCCGACGCCTGGCCTCAGTCTGCAGCAGCAGCTAGCCTTGACAGCTTAGAGGACCATATAATAAAATTTAAAACGGCGGTCGAAGAACAGGTGCGGGGGCCTGTCGACCCAGAGTAGCTCAGCCTAAACCCGGCAGTCCAGATCAGGTCCGAAAACTCAAGTCTTGGGGCCGGGGAGATGGCTCAGGGGAATAAGCGCTTCCCTGGCAAGCACATAGACCTGAGTTCAATCCCTGGTTCCGTAAAAAAAAAAAAAACAAAAAAAAACACCTCAATTCTGTCAGCAAGCATCACAGCACAACAAACTCTAGTAGCTCTGGGCAGGGCAAGTGGGTCGACTCGGGAAGGGGCAGGAACAGAGGGCAGCGGGCAACGCGGCAGGACAGCAGTTAAGGAGGCCCCTCTGAGGAAGGTATCACGCAGTTTCTCAGGGATTTTCTCATCCTATTGCCAGCATCTCAGCGAGGCCCTTATCCTGAGTATGTTAAAAGAATCAATTTCAACATGTGTCAAATGGGGAGAAGAACTGTGCCTAAATTCTTTAAATCTTTGTTTGGGTCTCAAGAGGCCCTTGATTCTTTTTCTTTTTTTTTTTTTTCTCGGACCCGGGGATTGAACTCAGGCCTTTGTGCTTGCCAGGGAAGCACCGAGCCATCTCCCCGGCCCCTTTTTGGTTTTTTAATTACTGAGTTCCCGTGACTCAGAATGAAACAATAACCATTTCTTCTCCGCACCCGGGTGGATGGACTGGAAAAGTGTAGGTGTGAAACTAGGAACTGCCTATTTCCTTCTATACATCTGAAAGTTGGGTGGGGAAATCCCTTGGTCTACCTTAAACGCAAGCAGCTGTATGGTTGCCCCCCCACCTCAGCTGGAACTCCCTCCACAGCCTGAGGGCGCCCTCTACCTGGTTCAGTCTGTCCTGTATGCGCAGAACCCATCTTCTATCATTCCATCCTTTCACCAGGTTTGTATTGCCTGGACAATGAGCTGGCCCCATATTTGGTACTGGGAACAGGGGTGGGGTTTTTTTTTTTTTTTTTTTTTTTTTTTTTTTTTTTTTTTTGTCTTTTTGAGACAGGATTTTACTTTGCAATTCAGGCTGGTCTTGAACTTTTTCTTTTATGGTCAGCTCAGCAGGGCTGGCATGGCATGTGGTGTTGGGGATCGAACCGAGGTCCCTGCATGGTTGCCTAAACTTGCCTAAGCAGGCGCTTTAGACCACTGAGCTATCTCACCAGCCCCCCCTCTTGAATTTATTTTGTAACCCCAAGTTAACCTCAAATTCTTGAAGATCCTCCTGTCTCACCCTCCTACTAGGATTACAGGTGTGCAACACTATGGTCTGGTGGGATGATTATTAATTTTATTTTATTTATTTATTTATTTTTGGTGGAACCGGGGATTGAACTCAGGCCCTTGCACTTGCCAGGGAAGCGCTTATTCCACTGAGCCATCTCCCCGGCCCTTAGGATTATTATTAGGGAAAGTTCTGTCCACTGAATTTTTAGTCTGGCAAGAGACACACTTAAAGGGGCCGGGGAGATGGCTCATTGGAATAAGTGCTTCTCTGGCGAGCACAAGGGCCTGAGTTCAATCCCCAGTTCCACCAAAAAAAAAGAAAAGAAAAAGACACACTTAAAGCTGGTAAAATTACAATAGTTGTGGGGCCAGGGAGATGGCTTAGTAGAATAAGTGCTTGCCTGGCACAAGGGCCTGAGTTCAATCCCCGGTTCCGCAAAAAAAATAAAAAATAAAAAAAATCACAATAGTTGTCTAAAATGTGCTGGAGAATTCATTCATTCGATTATTATTACTATTATTATTATTATTATTATTGCTGCTGCTGGTGCTGCTTACTGATACCTCTATTGGGCTACTCTGATTAAGAAGCTAGCCAGGTGTGGGCCTGGTGGCATAGCCCTTTCATTTCAGCTTTTGGGAGGCTGAGGCAGAAGGATTTCGGGCTCCAGTCTATCCTTGGCAGCTTAGAGGACCATATAATAAAATTTAAAGGGCAGTAGAAGAACAGTTACAGCACTTAAGAGTCTTATCCCCCTAGGAGACAAATGACAAGTCCAGGAGTACCTGGGAGGCTTTCTGGCATTTATTGCTGGATTGCGATGCTGGTTACATAGGTGTGCAGTTTTGTTTTGTTTTGTTTGCAGAACCAGGGATTGAACTCAGGCCCTTGCGCTTGCCAGGCAAGCACTTATTCTACTGAGCTAACTCCCCAGCCCCTGTTTTGTTTGGTTTTAAGACCAGTTCTTGCTATACAGTTCAGGGTGGCTTTAAACTCAGCAATCCTCCTGCCTCAGCCTGAGTGCCTCTAGGTGTATGGTGCACACTTACAGAATATAAGTGTGTGCCATACACCTGGGTTCAATACAAAATTTTAAAAAGGGAAATTGCTGTGGCTGAAAGCCTAGGAAGAGCAGGGAGAAAGGGAGCTAGGAGTTCATCCACAACTCTGCCCTTCCACTAGAGGCAGGTAGCTGCCTTTGAAGGATTTCCGAAGGAACGTAAATCTCCTTAAAGTGCAGCTTGAACTCACTGATCTGACCCAGCAGAGGGTCAGAGCATTTCAGTACCTTTCCCCAAGTCCCACTGAGCCTGCACTGGAGCCCAGGTCTCTTGGCTCCCCAGGCCAGGCCTCTGGACCCTATTCCTTTGTTAAAGGCCCAGTGCCAGGCCTGAGTCGGTCTCCTCCCCTCTCGGCTCTCTGAACCTGGGCTTGGGAGCAGGGCCAACGCTGGTGGGATGATGCTTTTCTTATCCTGGAGCAACTTCCTTTCTGGGAACTGGGAGTCACTTTCTGGGCAAAGACAATTCATCCAAAAGCAAGAAGAGCAGGGCTCCTCCTGCTCCCACAGGATGGGCATCACGTGGCTCCCAGCGAGCAGCCCAGGAAAATTCCAGCCCCTGTACACTTAGCCTTATGCACGTATCTGCCCAACCACGCTGGCACTCAGCCTCCCTGGCCCACCTTGGACATTCCCCATTGCACACCCCTGGCCACTCCTTTTGCTCTCGGCTTCCACCACTTCTTCCTGGGCCGTACTGCCAGCCATTCACTCATCTCAGAGTAGCCACCTTGCCCTGTCTCACACCTCAAACCCACCATGTCCTTGGGGTCACTGAAATTCCAGGCCGTGGGTGAGGAGGATGAGGAGAATGAGGAGGAGGAGGAGAGCTTAGACTCCGTGAAGGCGCTGACGGCCAAGCTACAGCTGCAGACACGGAGACCCTCGTATTTGGAGTGGACGGCCAAGGTCCAAAGCCAGGCCTGGCGCAAGGCCCAAGCCAGACCTGACCCCAGGGGACCAGGGGCCATCTGTGGCTTTGATTCAATGGATGCTGCGCTCAAATGGCTCCGTCGGGAACTGGTGAGTCTGGTGGGGTAGACAGCCTTGCACAGGGTCTTTGGACTTAAAGCTGTGGGTGTGGGGAGGGGATGAAAATGGGAGGAAAAAAAAAAAAAAACCTGCCCACATCTGTGCCCCAGGGAGGAGTCAGGAATGCACTTGTCCAATGTTCTATTGGGAAGCCTTGGTGAAGGATTTCATACAGTCAGGGGACAGAACCCTTGCCCTTGGTGGACCACCAATTATAAGTAGGGAAAGACATTGTCTCCCCTACTTTGGAGATTGGTACTCCAGAGATACAGTGAAGCACAAAAGAAGGCACTGACCATGCTGGAGACAGCTTAGTAGGACAGTGTTCAATGTTACTTATCAATCTGACATGTCCAAATATAAAGCTATCCAGGCTCAAACTTGGAGATTCTGCTCTGTTGCTCTGGGATGGGGCCCCAACACCTGCATTTGCTTACTGATGGTTCCTTAGCTTGTTTTGAGAACCGCCAGCTTGCACCACGATCTGAGAGATAAGCGAGGTGAAGGTGGGGGGAGGGCGCTGGGGACACCGCAAGTGCAAAGGCCCAGGGTTGACGGGAAGGAAATACTGGCCTGTGAGTCTGGGGCCGGCCAAGCAGGCTCACAGCCCATCGGCCCATTTGGCCCCTCTTGGCTGCAGAGGGAGATGCAGGATCAGGACCGGCAGCTGGCAGGGCAGCTGCTGAGGCTGCGGGCCCAGCTGCACCGATTGAAGGTGGACCAAGCCTGTCACCTGCACCAGGAGCTGCTGGATGAGGCCGAGCTGGAGCTGGAGCTGGAGCCTGGGGCCGGCCTGGCCCTGGCCCCCCTGTTGCGGCACCTTGGCCTCACACGCATGAACATCAGCGCCCGGCGCTTCACCCTCTGCTGAGGGCCACCTGGGTGCCTCGAGGGTGTCTCAGAGGCACACTCAGAGCTCTAAGGGCTCAACTGAGAGTGCACAAAACCCCAGCTGGAAAAAAAAACAAGAAAAAAATGGGGCTGGGGAGATGGCTCAGTAGAATAAGTGCTTCCCTGGCAAGCACAAGGGCCTGAGTTCAATTCCCAGTTCCTCCAAAAAAAAAAAAAAAAAAAAAACAGCTGGCAAGGGGAAAGAGGAAAAAATCAGGCACCAAGCTCCTCAATAAACACCTCTGCAATCCTAAAGTCTCTGCATCATTATTAGGCATAAAGTCACTCATTGTCCATGGGCCCTCTGTTGCTGGGACCTGCGACCCCAGTGTAGGAGAAAGGGCCCTGCTGGGGGTAGAGACAGGCTGGTAGAACCCCATTTCCCAGCAGCTCCAGCTGTGCTCTCCACCTGATCAAGGGCTAAGTGTGTTGGCACTGTCTGCAACCCCAGCACTCAGGAGGCTGGGGCAGGTTTGCTGTGAGTTTGGGGCCAGCCTTAACTGCATAGGGAGACCTCGTCCCAAAAAGATTAATAAGAATAATTTGAAATCTGGGGGCCAGGGAGATGGCTCAGTGGAATAAGCGGTTCCCTGGCAAGCTAAAGGGCCTGAGTTCAATCCCTGGTTCCACCAAATAAATAAATAAATAAATAAATAAATAAATAAATAAATAAATAAATAAATAATCTTAGCTCACTCCTAACTCCCACAGGAGGCTGTGTAGGTAACTGGGTCGTTAAGAATGCAGAATGAGGGAATCCTGGGCCTAAACTGAGGACGTCCCTGAATCCTTGAATCTGCCTCCTTGCCTCTAAAATGAAGGTGCTAATTCTCACTCCACAGAGAGCTGAGCATGTCTTAAGCAAGACGGGGCTGGGGAGATGGCTCAGTGGAATAAGTGCTTCCCTGGCAAGTGTAAGGGCCCGCGTTCAATCCCCGGTTCTGAAAAAAAAAAAAAAAAGCAAGACAGTACACAGCAGGTACCCAGTAAATGCGGGTATTTCTTCCAGTTGCCCTCACTGCAGTCTCAGTGCCCTGTGTAAGGCCTGCGAGGTGCTCAGGCTGACAGGCAAGGGTAGCTGGTTCTGCACGGCGCTTTGGCCCCCTTCTCTGTCACTCAACTCCGAAGGCTTTTTGCTTTGTGTCTCTCAGCCTTTGTTTCCGTGTTACTGTCTTTGTCTGACTTTCCAACTCGGGCTTCCTCTGCCCCCACCCATTTCCTGTGCCCCTCCCCCCTGCAGCTGAGGTGCGCACAACATCAGCTCCAACCTCACAAACCCCAACAATGCTCTGTGGATTCCCCTCCCCCACCGCCCAGCTCGCTCTGTGAAGCTCAGGAGGTGACGTCCTCACACCTTCCTTCCAGCGGGGTCAAGGCCCAGTTCTTGGGCCTGACAATGCTCCCCAGAGCCCCTTACATCGCTGGTGACCCAGCCCTCACCAGGAAATAGAGATTTTGGTCTTGGCGAGGTTCTTGCCCCCTGCCTTTAACAAAAAGTCCAGCCCATGTGTCCTGCCCCGGTGCCTGGGCCGTGTGTCCCATTTGTCTTTTATGGCAGAAGATAGTTCCAGGCCATGAACTTCCACCAGCCACTGTGGCCTTGCCTTGCTCAACCTGCACTGAAACTGCTGTCTCACTCAACACCATGAAAAGTGTGTCGTTGCTTTGTCTTCTGCTTGTAGTAGGGCTGTCACTCTTTTCTTGAGGCAGAGGGTTGTCCTAAAGCACACTGCTATGCGAGGCTGTTAGTGCACCCTGTGATTCTTTTTGTGTGTTTGCTTTTTCAGATAAAGTCCCACTATGTGGTCTAGGCTGCCCTCAAACTTATGCAATTCTCCTGCCTCAGCCTTCCAAGTGCTGGGACTACAATATTAGGCCACCACGCCAGGCTGCGCTGTGATACTAATAAAGTTGTCCTGGGCCCTGAGATGACATGGGCATTGTTGTCAGCTGACTACAGCAGCCGTTTTAAGTGCTTGTCTAACTGTAATGCACCTGGTCTTCCCTTCAACTGTTTTGCAAAAGCTTCATCCTTGCCTCTGGCTCTGAATGATGTTACCTTTGCCTAAAACCAAAGGGCCACCCAGCTTTCATACTATGACAGCGGTGTCACTTGCCTTCCACTGTAGGCTGGATGGGCATCTCTTCACCTCTGCTCACGGAGATCAAAGCCCGCCTTTAAATGTCTTGCCTAGGTGGGCCCCAGAAAACAGGAGAGGGGGGGTCCACGAAACATCCTCCCCTCAACTTTAAAACCCCAAATGCCAGTGCCAGGCTGGGGTTATAGCTCAGAGGCACAAGTGCCTGCCTGGCAAGCACGAGGTCCTGAGTTCAATTCCTGGTACTAATTAATTAATAATAAACAGAACCCACAAATGCCACTCTCCGGTTGAGTAAGGTCCAGCTTAGAAACATCTGGGACTCTCAGGGGCTAAGGGCTGGGGGTCCATGGTGGCAGGAAACTTGGGGTGCTAGAAGCTTGTGGTTGGGCTGCTGGGGCCCTGTTGGCTGCAGAGTCCTCAGGAGGAGGCAGGAAGTCGGGGTGGAACGTGGGCGCGGGGAGACAGGTGGTGGCTACGACGGCGAGGGGAGCTGAGATGGTGTCTGCGCAGCCAGGCCAGGCGGGGAGGACCATGTGAATGGGCCAGCAGGCTCTCGGGCTGGGCAGGTAAGGCTTATTGGGAACTGGGCTCTTGGGCCGTTATGGGAACCCTGGCAGCAGAGGGCTACAGCTGAGTGCAGGGTGCGGGGCTGCCCAGGGCCAGCAGCAACGTCGGGCTGGGAGACAGTAGTGCTTTGCTGGCGGTCAACAGATCTCTGCTTTCTTGCAAAGCTGGTGGCTGCTGCCTCTGCCTCTGCCTCTCTGTCTACCACTGTCCCCACCTCACCAGGATCATGCTTCTAGGACCTGGCCCATGGATGTTAGATTGTAGAAAGGCCTTCAGAAATCACCGTGCTTATGCCTCCCAGAATAACGGGATGCTTGAGCCCCACAGAGGGCAGAGCACCCACGGCCTGCAGTGCCTCAGCCCTGGGAGAGGCATGCCTTCAGCTGGGACCCCAGCCTCCCACAGTGGAGCAGGGTGGTGTGATAGGCAAGTTTGAAGTGGGAACTCAGGAATCAGTACTTCTGGTCCGTGGAGCAAGATGAGAGAAACAGAGAGACAGAGACACCACAACATTCGGATGGACACCTGAGAAGTGACTTCAGTCTCAGTGACCAGCATCACTAGAGACACGGGGTGGATGAGGCAGGTGTGTGGTCAGGTGAGGGGATGGAAGCGGTGTTCCTCACTGGCATGGAGACCTCAGGCCTCACATGTGCGACCCAACGCTGGGAAGCCTGAGGTGAAAGAGAGTGATGGGAGAAGGAAGAGGAAGGACTATTTTTATCCTGGGCAGGGATACAGCTGACCTTGAGCAAGGAACTCCTGAACTTCCACCTAGAAGGGTGCCATCCCTTCCCTGCCACGGGTCACAGCAGGATGTCTTTCCCTCTGCCCTTGTCCCCTCCTGCCCCAACTCCGGCTCCATGGGAAGATCAGTCAGTCCTGCTGACTCCCGTTTTAGACCCCAGGCCGTAGAGGCCCAGGAAGGCATTGTGGGCTACTTCACTCCCTCATACGCTAACGCTGGGCCTCAGCTGAGGGGGCAATCCCCAGCTCACGCAGACTTTCCAGGTTTCCCTGGCCTCTCTGGAGTTTTCCGGTGTTGCATGCTTTCCACCTAGTCAGCGTGTGCTAGCCTTCCTTGAGGCAGAGTCTTCCAGAGTGACTGAGTTACTCAGGTTGGGCTTAATTTGTAATCCTCTCGCCTCAGCCTCCTCAGTGCTGGTACTGTAGCTGTGTGCCATGCTGCCTGTCACTGTCATCTCTTCAAGTGGCTTCATAGTTTTGAACTTCAATTTACTTTTCCCTAAAAAAACAATAATAAATCTCCCTCTTACAGAGCACTTTTGGGGAATCTAAGAAAAAATATCAACAGTGATGTGTCTAACTCAGAGTAGCTTTTTGTGTGTGTGTGTGTTTAGTACTGGAAATCGAACTCGGGACCTTGCCCCTGCCAGGCAGATGGTGTGCCCTGAGCCATATCCCTGGCCATAGTAGGCTTCTAAGAGAGGCTAGAGACTTCCTCCTGCACAAGAGGAGGGCTGTCCACACCCAGAATTGCACCTTCTCAGGGCCTTGGCCTTGGCAAGGGACAGAACCGCCCATTCCTTCACACTTGTGGTGTGGCTTTGCAAATAGGCTTGTTTCCTGTGTATGGTGGGGTGTGAGAACTCTGGCAGGCTAGGTTCTGAGATTTTGAGCTGGGTGTTTGGGTCTCCATCAAAAGAGGGTCCCTCTGCCAAACATAGCGGCATACACCCTTAATCCCAGCACTTGGAAGGCTGAGGCAGGAAGATCACGGCAAGTTTAAAGCCAGCCTGAATTACATAGCAAGACTCTGTCTCTCTCTCACATACACACATACACACACACACACACACACACACACACACACACAAAGGGTCCCTTATATAGACACACACACAAACACACACTCCCATGTGAAACATCAACTGCATTATCATGGAGAAATGCTTGTGTTGGTCTGCTCAGAGCAGGGGCAGAGACTACACGTAAACACAGCTGGATCCTGCAATCCACACACACCCTCAAGCTGATGGATTCAAGGTCACCCTCAATTCACTGAAAACAATTCTGAGTGGAAGAGAATGTGGTTGGGGCAGGCAGGACCATGATACCATCCAGGAATGCAAGGGGCTTGTTGTTAGGGGTGGAATTCACACCTCATGCTGGCTAAGTACATGCTGTAGCACTGAGTTTCGCCACCAGACCAGGGGAGTGGGCTTTAAAACAACCTACCTCTGGGCAGATTTTAAAGATCTGGAAGGGCCAGTGAGATAGCTCAGAGGAGTAAGTGCCTGCTTTGGCAAGTGCAGGGACCAGGGTTCAATCCCCAGTCCCCCATACTTCACTGGCCCAGCTGCTGGGGCCAGCTGAGCAGCAACCATGTCCCAGCAGGAATGGTGGCACATGCCTGTAATTCCAGCATTAAG